TCCCTCTCTGCCAGATCCTTTCTTTCATATGCTAGCTCATAGGCCCTAGCCTGCATGTAAGATTTTTGGGATCACACTCTCTAACTTATTCTCCAGCCTCAATTAGAGATAGCCCCTTGTCAGCACACAAGAACCCTCTGCAGCCATGGTTCTGGGAGCCCAGCAGTGACAAGGGCTTAGCCAGGCAGGACATCCCTGACCCCTGGGAGCTGCTTTGGCCCCTCCAAGCCCCTTCCTCCTCCCTTCTCCTGGATAACCCATTCCTAGTATTCCAGTAAGGCTGGGGAACACATGGATCTGCGCATTCTCCTGACTGGCCCTGATGGTCGAGCAGACTGTTCTCTGTGCAGCCACTGCATGGAAGATCACTAGGGCAAAAGCAACCATGCAAACCCGCCACATGCATCCACCATGTCCTGAAAGCGGGGATACAGGTTTGCACACAAGTGTCTGTCTGTCCTGCTGTCCACTACTGGGCTCACCCTGCAGACATTTCCACACAAGAGTGTGTGGAGGAGCACTATTTAACACGAAGCTTGTCCACAGCCCGAATATCCATAAGTAACCATGAGTCACCTTCTAATAGGACACAGCCTGGCCACAGGTAGAGCCGGGGCTCCATCCTGTAGGCAAAGCTTTGGCTCATGGTGTAGGAAGAGAAAAAGCAAGAGTGCAGAAGTGTGTCATCTCTGTGCAGCCGGGCTAGACAATAGGTGCCCTTGTGTTCGTGTGCCACAGTGGCCATGCTGCAGGGGAAGGGACCAGACAAAAGGGAGGCTTCAGAGAACACACTCCCCATGCTCCTTTGGTCCCCCGGAGCCTTGGCGCCTATGCAAAGCCATGGAGAGATGCACTGCTCACCAGAGACTCTCATTTGAGTAAGCTGATTATTTACAAATGATCCGGGGGCTCGAAGTCAGCCAGGAGGCAGGCAGTCCGCAGCGTGAAGGTGGGCCATCCTGTTGCCTCTGACTCAGTGGCTTTCGAGGTCCCTGGACATTGGATCCAAACTGGCCCTGGGTCTCGGCGTCCTTTGAGCCTCCCTAGCCCCACCAATGCAACACCTCAAGAGGATAACCCTCACTTACAGCAGGCCCTTGCTCAACTCAGGGCACAACCCCTGGCTCCTCAAGCCAGGAATCCAGGGCTCGTTTCTCTGAAGGATAGGCACAGGGTGGCTCTCCCCACCTCCTCGGGCCTGGAAGAACTTTGTCTGGGCTGGCGCCTGAGTTTGCTTATCTCACCATAATGAATGGGTGTTCCCAGGCTAATAACAGGCAAGGAGGGATGCCCTGAAGAGCTAACCCCACAGTCTACTTCAGAACCATGTACTGGCAATGAGAGACACTGTGATTGGGATCTGGACAGCTAGACCTCCTGTGTTTATGCCACCGTACCCACTAGACAACCAGAGAGCCTGGACAGACTCTCTCATTGGAGTGTAAAGAAAACCACTCAAATCATAGCCCCTACTTTGGATAGTCCCTAAGGTACCATGATGACCATCTGGAGAGGGCTATGAGGAAGGACTGGGCTGCCGGGTCAAGGTCTTCTGTGTTGGCCAGGACAGAGTAAGTTATAGAGAGAGGTCCAATCACAGACTGACCACTGTGTCCTACAAAAACAGGACTTCTTATTGGTCTCAAAAAAAATATGTACATCTTGGGGCTAGGGAGAAACTAACATGCTTAATTCAGACAAGCTGAGTCGATGAGCTCGAGGGCCAGTGAGAGACTCTGCCAAATGAACCAAAAAGAGGGTGAAAATCAACAGAAGAAGACATCCAAGTTGACTTCTGGCCCCCAGACGCATGCACACACGTGCACTGAGCACACACCTGTACACATGCTCACATATGCACACAAATGTGCACCTCCACAAGTGGGTCCACCTGCTGGAATGTGGCTTCACATCCTCGTCGACGTTAGACTTGTGGTTGAAGCTTTGCTGAGTCGGGTTTTGTTTGCTGAGAGCTTCTGGGGGCAGCCCCATCTGTGGGGCCCAACAGGACGTCTTGTCAGTGAGCCTTCCTAAGAGTGCAATACCCACTGCCGTTTGTCTTTCTCTTCAGGTCCTCCCTGACACCAAAGCACACAGACCCCACAGGTGACAAACAAGCCCTCATAGCTCACTCTGGCTGTAGGTTCCCAACTTTTCATATGGCCCTCCCCAAACCTTACTCCATACTTGAAAGGGCCAGCCAGGGGTAATGCCATTGCTAGCTACTTATGACATCCTTGGAGTCTGGAATTCTTTGTCTATAGCCCTGTAGTGTTTACCCCTAAGCAACCGAATCCTTAGGAAAATCCTAAGAGGTTGAATTTGAGCATAGTGACCAAACACGGCAGATCAGGACTGGGACCCGCCTGCCAGCCTTTCATGTGCTGTGGTGTCTTTTCTGACCCAAATAATAAAGCAGAGGTGCTGGGTTTCTCACAGAAACAAGAGCTCGCCTCAAATAAATAAATGGGTTGCAAACAGTAACTAGTCACTATTAATTAAGTACAGACAGACAACTTACCTATTTAAAAAATAACCCATTTATTAAAAGGCAATTAGTAAGACTGGATTCCCGCTGAGCACCCTGCTGCCCCTCCTTACAGAAAGAGGAAGTCAAGACTCGCCAGGACACAGGCCCCACAGACCATCGCACTGTGTGGGTGACGCTTTGAGGGGTCTCCCTAGTACTGAGGAGGATGCACGGGCTCTATAAGGGTGAAGATGAAACACATCTGCCGGGAGACGACAGCCATCGCCTGTCTTGCTGCGCACGGCAGAGCAGCCTTGCTGTGGTTCATCCCAGTGGAAGGCGGCCATTCACGGCCTCACAGTGGAAGGCGGCCATTCACGGCCTCCCAGTGGAAGGCAAGTGTTTGGAGTCCTGCCACACAGAAGGAAAAAACCGAGAGGTTAATTAAACTGTTTGTTATCACACGCAGAGTTGGCTTTGTGGCTGGGAGCTGCAGGGAGCCCTCACTCCCAATGACCCTGGCTGAGTCTGGGAAGGCTGAGGATTCAGCCTCAGGGGCAGCTCCCATGCCAGCTGGAGAACCCCACCCCCACCCCGGGGCGAGTCTGTGGAGTGGCTTTCTTTCCAGTCCTGTAATTTGTAATTCCTTTGTTCCTCTGATTTACCAGGAATTCAAAGATGACTTTGTCAAAAAAGTTGAGGAGCAAATTATTTATATTATTAATCTATTTTCTTCCTTTCCTTCCCTCCCTCCTTCCTCTCCTTCCTTCTTTTGAGACGGGGTCTTGCGTAGCACAGACTAGCCATGAACTCACTGAATAGCCAAAGATGACCTTGAACTGCTGATTCTCCTGCCTCTGCCTCCTAAGTGCTGGGATTACAGGCATAAACCACCATATCTGGTTTATGGATCGCGAGGAACCTAACTCAGAACTCACCTGTCTAGACAAGTGCTCTACCAACTGAGCCGCAGCCTTAGTCCCCATTTAAATTGTTATTTGGAGATAAACAAAACAAAACAAACTTGCTTACAATTCAATCACCAAAGGACACTAGGGGGCAGTTTCTGAACAATGCCACATTTTAAATCCTGGGAGGCATGGACAGTGCCCTATCACCCCATCCCAGGTCTCCTGTCCATTATTCTTGACTTACAGTCTGTTCCCCAGGAGTACCAGTAGCTACAGGTGAATACCCCAGGAGGTCATCACCAGACAACTAGCTGACCTATACCGGGGGATGGATGGATTGTTTCCCCTTTACTAGGAGGCGGTGTGTGTCTGTGTCTGTGTGTGTCTGTATGTGTGTGTGTCTGTGTCTGTATGTGTGTGTGTCTGTGTGTGTCTGTGTCTATGTGTGTCTTTGTCTGTCTGTGTGCGTGTGTCTGTGTGTGTGTCTGTGTGTGTCTGTGTGTTTGTGTCTGTGTATGTGTGTCTGTGTGTGTGTGTATCTGTGTGTGTCTGTGTGTGTGTCTGTGTGTGTCTGTGTGTGTGTCTGTGTGTGTCTGTGTGTGTGTCTGTGTGTGTGTGCGCGTGTGTGTGTCTGTGTGTGTGTGCGTGTGTGTGTGTGTGTCACTGTCAGTCTGCATTACTCTGGAAGCAGAGCCTGGGGAGAGTGTCTTGTGAGGGTGACTTATTGCAAGAACTGACCACAGGCTGTTGTGGGGTGAGTTATGTCCCCTCAAATTCATGTTTCCTTCCTAATCCCCAATGCCTGAGAGGATTACTATTTGGACACAGGGCTTTTGTTTGTTTGGTTGGTTTTGCTTTGTTTTGCTTTGCTTTGTGAGATAGGGCTTCTCTGTGTAGTCCTGGCTATCCTGGAATTCGCTCTGTAGACCAGACTGCCCTAGAATTCACAAGATCCACCTGCCTCCGCTTCTCCGAGTGCTAAGATTAAAGGCATATGTAACCACACCTGGACACAGGGTTTTTGTGGAGGAACTCGGGTAGCTTGGAGTAACCGGGGAGGGATGGGAGTGTCTGGTCAAATCTGCCTAGGGTCCTCGTAGAAAGAGAAGAGCAGGCTAAAGAACTGCCAGGGATGTGTGCATGGGAAAGTTTGTATTGCATCTTGGAGGTACAAAGTAGGAAACACGTCTTGATACTTCTGTTACATCCTGGGGTCTGGGAGGTGACACAGACCAGCGAGGAAGGCCTGGAGTGTCCGAAAATCTGCCCAGGTGTTGTCAGCAAACAAGGAAGCTGAGGCTTGGAGGGAAGGAATTCACAAGGTGGGCAGAGTTCCAGCTTTGGGGTGGGGGTGACTTCCTGGCTCCTAACTTAGAGATACAGGGATCCACTTACTGCGGCCCTGGTTGTGTGCCTTCATGTCCTGATTCTCAGGACTTCTCAAAAGAGAGCAACAGGCCCGGCTGTGCCCTGTGCCCCAGGCCTTCCCTGTCACTCAGTCAACTCTTGCCAATCCATTCCCAGCAGAGGCCATGCCAAGGTCCCTGCACAAGGTCATTTCCTTGTGGTTTTATCCTAATAAATGAACCAGCCTGTTTGACCACAGCATTCCTTAGGTGCTTAGAGTTAGAGAAGAAAAAAAAATCTTTCCCCAGACTGACGAGGCCCAGCTTCTTCGCCCATGCACTGGTGAGTATAAAGACGAGACCCACATGCAACAGGTACACGCTTATCTTTGGCTTCTCCTGAAACACAAGTCAAGGATCACGGGACTCTCAGGGAAGACGTAAGTAGAAGGCATCTGGAAGCTGAAGTCAGCCTCGCCTTGGCGGCCACAGGGTCTCCTTTAGAGGATCCATCTCTGAGTGGCATCCAGGCTCAGTTTTGCCAGCTTTGCTTCCTCTGTGTGCCTCAGCTTTCTCCTCTGCACGGGGGAGGGCACACACAGCTGTCTAGACGCAGACCTAACCAGGCAGAGAACCTTCGGAGACCTTCTCCTTTGTCTCAACATCCTACATATGATTCTCACTTCCTCCCCAGGCCCCCAGACCCAACCATGTACCAAGTCCCCTAGGACCTGAGTCACCAGGAACATGGGATGTCACAGCCAGCTCTGCAGGAGGCCCAGGTGGTGCTGAGTGACTGCAGCATCTCTATCCTACCCTGGCTGGGGGTCTTGAGGAAGTGATTTGGGTACCACTTTGTCCACATCTCTGCTGTACTTTATTATAAACAAAACCAGCCAGTTCCAAGTTTTTTTTTTTTTTTTTTTAAAAGCTGTCTCCTTAGACTTGGTTTGGCACCATGCCTATTCAGCCCTCCCCATTTCACAGAGGTGGGGACAGAATCCAGCGTGGATAGACAACTTGACTGCCTCAAAGAGAGCTGGGACCAGATCCCCTCATCTGCTCCGTCTGGATCTCTTTCCAAGAGAGATTCCGTTTCCCCTTCCCTGGGGACTTTCACCCCAATACTCCAAAATTTCTCGAATGCCCTGGTCATTCTTGTCCTTTAGATGATATTCAACAGAGTGGGGAGAGATGGGGATCCTAGAGACACGTGTGTATATGGCCCACAGGATCAGCTTGTACCACTGAGCCCAGCGGATGGAAAGAAACAGCGTCATTTTCCTTCAAGTCTGAGCAAAAGATGGAACCCAGTAGCAGTGACGTGACAGTGCTCACACCTGCGGAGGGAGGGGGACGCCCTACCATGGTGGTGCCGAGAAGATGACGTGGCTCCCTTACAGAGGCCTTCAGCCAAAAGCACTGCACACGGATGGCAGAATTTATCCAGGGCATCTCAGCAGCACAGCTCTTCCCAAGGTTCCAAGTCCTTGGTTTTATAGGGTTTTGATGCAATGTTGGTGGACGGAGCTATGGGCCTCTCCCTTAAGGAAAGAGAGCAGGGCTCGCCTGCGTGAACTCCAGAGAGCTGGTTCAGCGGTTGTACCGAGCAGACCAGGTCTTAGTGAGGACCTGGGGTTGGTCCCTTGGTGAGCAGGGAGGAGGGACCGCCATAATAGGATCCAAAGTCATGGGTGCTTTGACAATCACATGAGGATTTTAAAAACCCACTCCACTTAGCCAGCTCTGTTCTAGGCAGGGAGAGGGTAGGGAGCTGGTGGCTGCCTCCTTATGAAACCCTTGCTGGTGCCAACCCCTCAGAACCCACCTAGAACCCGTTTTGCCTCCTTGCAGAAGAAGAACCCCAGCAAACAAAGGACACAAAGGACTTCAGGGCAGCAGATCCTCTTGAACACTGACAACTCCCACACAGGCAAGTGCCCTCCCCTGCTTAATTCCGGCGCAATTTAGCATCGTGAATCACTGCTCCCAGGCCTCCATTTGTCTTTCACAGGAAAACGTCCCGAGGTGGCGAGGGTGGCTCTCATCTTGCGTGTCCCCCCACAAACCTTTTCTTCCCTCTCATGTCATCTCTCATGACCGTCCTCTTCAGCGTCACTGGTAGCGTCATCCTTGCTCCCCTCACGTCAGCTGCTCAATGACCCCCTGCCCAGCCGCACGCCCCTGTTGGGGTGGCGGCACCCCACCTTCCTCCTGCCAGAAGCCAGAATTGCTCTTCTGAGACGCAGAGCACTGGCCTTTCCATCTGCTGTGTCCTCCGCCAGCCACTTTCCAGAAGCCCAGGGGCGACACAGCCAGCGGGTGGGCTCCTTCCATCTGCACTGCACTGCCTTCCGCCAGGCTGTGCGTCAGCCAGGCACTGTCGCCCGGGCTTCAGAGCTCTAAAGGGCACTTTGTCCCAAGCCCTGGTGTGTGCCTGAGATGAAGCCTCATTTTAAAAAAAAGAAGCAGGATCATGCAGGGAACACGCTTGCACTAGAGGAGGGGGCTAGCAATGTTGTCTGGCAAATTACAGGTTTTCTTTTATTGCAATTTAAAAAAAAAAAAGAACCCACTGAGAAGATGATTCTCTTAATTCATTTGAGTAGGAAGATGGGCATTTTGTGACACGCTGTGTCTTTTTGTGATACGCTGGAACAAAGGTAATAGTAAGAATTCTTGTTCACGCTGGGGGCCCTGGACAACACCCGAGGATACTAGGAACAGTGGTTCCTGGCCGCAGGACCTGCTCCAACCTGCTAGCTCAAAAATCCGCCTGAGCATAGCTAGTGCTGGCCTGTCTCCATTGTTTCACAGACTCTGCCCCTCTGGGCTGTAGGCTTCATGGATGCGGCTCTAAGGCTCATTTCTCTCTGCTCTTGGACCCGAGTCTCAAGTCTGTGCAGCTTTAAAGATGCCAGCTTGTTCAAGATGTCAGCTCAGCTGCCGCGAGGGCTGAGGGACTGACTTGACACAAGAGCCTTCCCTAGCCCAGCGCCCTGGATTTCCTTAGCTGAATTTCTCCACCAAGCACCACAAAATGTGTGTCCCCAGCATCAAGCTACAGGAAGGGGGGCTCTCCAGGCTACTGACCATCCAGTAACTCCTGTGTTTTCTGTGACTCCAGAGCAGGACCGGACTGGGTGCTGGGTACCCAGGCACATCAGGCAGCTGTCAACCCTCCCCCTCCCCTACCCCCCCCCCCCATCTAGGTGAGAGACAGAGCCATGTCGGCAGCCATTGACTGACAGGGTACCATGATTCTGGCAAAGAAGAACCCAGGACAGCAAGCAGTCTTGGTCCAAATGGGACATCACATAGGTGGGCAGAGGTTCAATCTCTGCTTAACAAACATGAGTCCATCTAAGTACATGAACCCCACCAGTATCCCATGCAAAGTCCTTAGAACAGTGGCTTGGAGAGGCCACATGGGTTCCAGCCACAGTCCAGCCACCAAGCCATTGGAGGGGACAATAGTCCCAGCTCCTGTTCTGCGTGAGAGCTTACAGCCACACATGCCAGGGACAGAAGACAGACTCGCTCCAGGGGAGAGTGAGTCTGCCAGCTCTTTGCCTTTTCCCATCCCCCTCTCATGTAGATTTCTGCCCAGGGTTCAACAAGGTTGGTTGTCCCTTTGGGAAAAGAAGGTACCTTGCGGCCTTGGCTCCTGCTTCTACCTTTGGGAGAAGACTAACTACTTGGTCCTGCTGGTAGCCGGTGGGGCCAGAGAGTCTGCTGACAATGTGGGGCGCAGCAAAGGGCACCGCCATCCTGTGTAGCAGTGTGGTTTCCTCTAGTAGGCATTTTCATCCCAGCCCCAGGAAGAACAATGACAGTTGACAGAGTGAGCAAGGACTTAAGCCTGTGACATAAAACACGAAGCCTTGGCGTTTCCAATGAGAAACCTGATAAAAATAAACAAGACACACTGGAGAACAAGTCATGACTGCGTCCAGTTCCACACCATAGCTGCCTGCAACTCCTGCCGAGGTGGCTCAGGACTTGCAAGCAGTACGTGAATGAAGGTCCTGAGAACTGGTCTTGACAAGTGAGGACAAGAGGTACCAAGAAGGCAGCAGGATCCACTGATGACACCCAGACAGGATGAGAAGGGGTTGTAGGGGGTTCCCATCCAGACAAGCTTGTCCAAGCCCGTGTGTAACTGAGGTTCAGGAGCCCCACGCTTCACACAGCACAGGTGTCATGCTAACTTGCCAGGTGACTTCCTACTCAGTGTGACCTGTGGGAAGTGGGTGAGGGGATGCAAAGTTCCCAGGTCTCCTTTTCTTCTTTCCCTTTCTTTTTTTCACTCTTATATAACGTATAATGGAATAAGCAAGTAGTGGGTCTGGGAGCGCACATGTGCACACACACAGACACAGACACATGCGCACATGCACACACACACACGCAGACACATGCACACACATGCGTGCACGCACGCACACACAAACACGAGCACACACTCACACACAGGAATAATTTCTTGAGTACTGCAAGAGAGCAGCAGGCTAGGCAGTAACTAGATTACCATCTGCAACTGCGCACATGTTCATACAGCACACTCTCAGGAGCAAGGCTGGTCAGACCCACTTCTATCAAGTTGATGAGGAAAACGGTTCCTGGCAGGCTTGCCGTTGTCAAACCATGGAGAACATTCTGTGACAGAATGTCTCACCCTGGGATGTCAATGACTCACCTCTGCTTGTCATTCGATGCGAGAAGATGTCCCCAATGAGGCCAGGCAGCCCCGGCGTCAGCCATGTAAGCATGGTGGTGACAAGATGGCGTAATGTCTCTCTCCCTAGTTGTCAGCTCAGAGCGGGATCATCTGATAGCAGAATGAAGGGACAGGTTTGAAATGCCATTTACAATATCTAATCATATGTAATTAAATTATAATAAATGATGAATGTTATTTGTGGGCTGGATCTTATATGTTTTTTGTTTTGTTTTGTTTTGTGTGTGGGTTTTTTGTTGTTGTTGTTGTTGTTGTTGTTATTTTTGAGACAGAGTTTCTCTGTGTAGCTTTGGAGTCTGTCCTGGAACTAGCTCTTGTAGACCAGGCTGGCTTTGAACTCACAGAGATCCACCTGCCTCTGCCTCCCGAGTGCTGGGATTAACGGCGTGCGCCACCACCGCCCAGCTGGATCATATAGCTTTATTGAAAGCCATCAGTATGTATCAGGTCAGGGGCAGCAGGAGGCTCACATTCAGTGACCACCTGGTCTGGGTCCAGGAGTTTCTTAGGATGCTCAAAACCTTGTCCAGAACGGCCTGGGTCTCCGTCTCACCTACACATCCACCGTCTCTACACAGCATCACGAACACATCAGGGAAGAGGCTTCTATTCTCCATACTTGGGGAATAAACGTGGAGGACAAGGTCTACACATACTTCATGCAGATGTTACCCCCCCCCAATATTTTCCATCTGCAGCTGTTTGGCTCCATGATGGGAATCCCTGGACACAAAGGGCTGCCTGAACAGGCTCCACACCGGTTCCTGTTCCCTGGGTTACAAAGTTGATTCTCAGCTCAGACTCGCGGGGGAGGTGCAGGGTCAAAGGCACCACCTCCTTAGCACCTCTGTGGACCACTCAGGGCATTGAAGGGACGTGAGAGACCAAGAGCCCACCGTTGGTCACACACATGGGGACATGGAGCCCAGGGAAGAGACAGGTTATCCAACAGTCCCTTGCTTGACCCTCGGTCCTTCCTCCTGCTCATGGGCCTGGCTCAGCTGCACTAGGGGTAATTTTCTCCTACAAGGCTTCTTTGGGAATCTGGAAGCCTCTCTGCCCCACTTGGAGGCTGTGTTAGGACAGCAAGAAGGAAATGGGCTCTTTCTTGCAGGAAGCTAAGCCTTAATTAGCATTTCCTCCCTTGCCAAGTTGGGGACCCAAGGGCCAGGTACTACTGAGGAAATGACAGCTGGACTGGGTTCACGGCTGGAACGATGCACCTAGGGTGAGCATGTGTGCGGGAGACGAGAGCGGAGAGCGAGGCGGTCTCTCCTTTAGGGACCAAACTGCTCATATGTGCCGCCTCCACCAATGCTACCACTCCAGGCAAGGAAAGCTAAAAGGGTCGGCTGTTCATCTCAGCCCAGAAGCCCAGAGCGTGGTCCCATAACAGCCTTCAATTAAGGCAGAAGGCTGGCAGTACATTTGCATTTTCATTAAGATTAATGAATCATGCATGACTCACAGTGGCGGAGGAGTGGAGAGAGAGCTGCCATATAGAGGAGCCCCTCCACAGTGACCCAGCATGAGCAAGGGACCCCCACACTGCAGCATCTCCCACAGGCCTTGGGGCAGCCTGCCCTCAAGGACACCATGTCCTTTCCTCAGTCACGTGACTCAGGGGTTCTGTTTCTCCACACAAGGAAGTACGGGGTGCTGCTCCACAGCCGCTTATCCCATGGATGTCAATAAACGTGACATTAAACAAATCAAGTTCTTTCTCTGTTAGGTTCGAGAAATGACAGGCTAGACACAAGACAAAAGCAAGCAGGGTCAGGCAGAATTTTAACAGCGGAACTTCTCAGAGATGTGAACATGCTGGCGCGAGCCGGGAACCCCAAGTTCAAGGGCACACTGAAGCGTCCTATCCAGACTTCGCCTTTGGATCAGTGTGGGATTTCCTCTTCTAGGCAATCTGCAGTCCAGAAGAATGCTCTGGCCTGGACTTGAGCAGGTGACAGCTTGGCAGGTGACAGGAAGAGGATGTGTGGAAGACAAAACTCCCGCCTGGAGACAAGGAAGGGGTTCCTTCCAAGGTGTGCGTTCTGGGGCTCTCCTCCCACCTGTGATGTTTGCCCAGGCCTCTCCATCCGCTACTGCTCAGATGCTGAGTTCTCTTTGCGACACCACGCTCGCTCCCTTCTTCCTCACCAGCACTTGTCTCTCTCCTGCAGGGTGCTCCTGTCATCAGTAGGCTTTGAGAAGAAGCAGAGATGAAACTGGATGTTTGCTCGTTTCTGTAGGAACCAACATCCTCCCTCTGTTCTGATGTGGGGTGTGGGAGCCCTGGCTAGGCTCTGGAGGGAGCTGGCAGGTGAAGGCCACAGAGAAACAGGCTGTGCAAGGGACACACGATGCCTCAGTGACCCTCCTACATGGTGAAAGTGCCACTATCCTTGGGGGCACTGCCTACCTTAGGCATCTGACCTGTGGCCCAAGGACAACAGCAGGTTGTCCAATGCTCAAGGAGCCTTAGGCTTTGCTTTGCCCTGGGCCTGGAACCTGTATCTCCAAGAGTTAGGCAAGAAGCGAGGGACTGGAGGCTGGCTGTTTGGGTTGGGAGCTGTGCCTGGGGAAAAGCCTGCCTGAAGGTCAGACCAGAAAAGTACAAGGGACCTTGATTGAGTACCTACCCACCCACCCCCACTGAGTGTTCCTGGTGACCTCGGGGACACTGTGACCTCTGTCATCACTGCAGCAAAGCAAGCAAAGCAAAGTCTGTGTGAAGAGTGATAGGCAAGGCTTACAGGGCAGCTCAAGGCTTCTCTGGCTGTCCTTGTCCCTGTAGGCTCCAGGGCACATGGCACCCAGTGATCTGGTGACAACTGAGCTTCTCCAGAAAACACTTGGTTTTAGGGTCACTCTAGGAGGGGGGGTCTCTGGGAGCTGCTCATCTTAGGGGTACTCACTCCCACTGATGGTCCTTATTGACGTAGTCACAACACCCAGGCAGTGCCAGCACGATGCACCCAAAGGCCCCCTAGTTCCCTCCTCTATTGAAGTGTGCTTGGGTGAGTCTGCAGGTTTGCAATGGAGACTGCCTTCTCTTTGCCTTTAGCATCAGCCTAGAGCTTGGCACACAGCGGCATGACTGTTGTGTCATAGCTGGCACGGCGTTCTAGCTGAATGTCTTGTTTCTCCCAGGGAGAGGTCACTCTGGTAGGATGGGTGGGACCCTTTAGAGCCCAAAGTCACTCACTACAAGCCCAGGGCCCGCATAGATAGCCTCAGAGGCTCTACCCTTGGCCTACTTAAGACTAGGCTGCCTCTGAGCCTTATCTACTAAGAATGCACCCCTGACACCCTCTGAGGCATAGCTGGTATGTGGGGCTTTAGGTCACTGTCCCTTTGTCCCTGCCTTGTCCCCGTAGGCATCTGCTCCACCTGTCCTGGGAGTCTCCTGTAAGGATTGGGTGCAGTCGAGACAGGGGTTCCCTGGACACCCATGCTGCGGGTGACCCTGCTGGTTCAGGCTGGAGATCCAGGATCCAGGGAAGCCAGGTTCAGGGCTGACGACATTTGTTCCCCTCTGAGAGTCTGGAAGACGCCAGCTCTAGATTTTGCAGCGTCCTCATCGGCAGACGCTGAGGCAGAACCATCGGCCCCTCCTCACATCAAGGTCTAACCATTCTGTCGCTCCTAAGCACCAGGAAGCCAAATCTCCACACCACCCACAATGCAGAGGGCTCCCCTACAGCCTGGAAGAGGCAGAAGTTTGGGGAGACAGTCTATGATGGGGACCTATCCTACAGGCCTCCTGGATTGGAAGTGGCAGACTGGAGCTCAGTGTGCGCACCCTGTAGACCCAAAGAACTCAAACCGATTTTAACAAGAAAAAGCCAAGTGTTCGCTCACATAAGTGGAAGTCCAGAGACACTTGTTGCAGGTGCTCCTGGATCCAGGAGGTCACAGTTCTCTTGGTAAGAGGCTCTGCTTTTCTCCAAGAGGAGGCAACTTCCAGAAACCGTCTTTGCACAGTGGCCAGCCAGTTCAACCCGGCAGCCTAAGTGCTTTTAAATCCAAAGGAAAAGAATGGTGTCTCTTCTGAGGGTGGCCTCACTCGGGAGGAGTGTGAAACTCTTGTTGACCCAGCATATTCTGGCAGGGCCCTAGGCTGGAGGGCTCTGATTGGCGGCTTGTCGGGAGTTCTCCTTGAGGGGTTTTGGGAGGTTCTCCACAGGGGAGGCAGTGAAGGTGATGTGGTTCCCACACCTTTGGGAAATAAAAGGGGTAAGGGAGGGAGCGATGCAGGGCTAAGAGCCTTCAGAAGACTTGACAACCAGGCTGAGTGGCAGCTACTGGTCCACCTGCCCTCCACTCCCTGCAGCCAGCATTGCCATGGCAACAGCAGCAGCATCCAAGGCTTCCAGAGTGTTTCTGCTTCCAGAGGCGGCCTTTTACCCTCCCCCTGTTCCCTCTCACCAGGCATCTGCCTCCAGTCACTTGGGCTTGGAGATGCAATCTCCCCACCCCCCAAGAGCCTGAGTCCACTCGTCCTGCCGGGTTTCAGCTGGAGAACCATGGTGCTGAGGCAAGCATGGAGTGTTAACAGTGAATTTGTCAGTGTCCCGGGGTGGGCAAGTTGCCAAGGTTAGACCTGCCTGGGCTGTCTGCTGTCTGAAAAGGGATACGGGTGGGCATACATTCCTCCCCAGCCCCACAGCAGCTAGCCTGGCCACTTCTGTCCTCCATAGATCTCCC